TGGCACGGTGCGTCCACCCCTCTGGGCTCTGCAGAAGGGGCAGCCCCACGCTTTAGGGATGCAGTGAAGTGGCAGAGAAGCGAGAGTCAGTCCAGAGGAGAGTTTCTGCAAATGCAGCCGGCGGGGCAGAGGCGGAGGCGGGGAGGGCAGGGCTTGCAAAGCTGCATTCTCGCCCAGGGTTCCCACGAGGCAGGTTCCGTACCAGCTAAGTGTGACCTAAGCACGGAATTTTGGTCTCCTCTGCAGAACCTTCCAGCACTGCAAGCTGGCCATCCCCCCCCAGTTCCCCCCACCCCCGCTAAGTACCAGCTGACAGGGCGGGAGGGGCCTCAATGCCCGTCCTTGATTGGCACAAAACTCCTTGTGACCGTGAGCTCGTCCCAGCTTCCTGATGGCTTCTGCCCCAGATGAGGTTTCGATGACCCACGTGGAATTTCTAACAAGGAGAGCAAGTGTGTGGTTTCGCGCACGCTCACATCCCCTTTTCTTGTCTGTCCAAGTTCCATGACGCCTTTTCTTGTCAATGCAGAAGCGCAGCCAAGCCCTGGGCCGCCCCAGGAAGTGCTGAGGTCTCTTGCAGCTGTCACTCAAAAAGGGAAACGTAGCCGCCTCGGGGCTGGGGTGCCCCCCGGCTCTCAGAATCTCTGCAGAATAGGGGGAAGACGGCTTCGTTCACAACCGGCAGGCAGGAAGTGTGCAGTGCACAGGAAGAGCCACCGCAGCCCCCCAAAAGACACCCTCGCGTTGAAGCTTCTCAGTGCTTCTCCAGGGCCAGGCCCCTCAGACCCCTGCCCCCACCTCGGGGGACCTTCCTTGCTGGCTGGCTGGCTGGAGTCAGCGGCTGTGTCAGGGAAGCCCACGTGGCCAGGAGCGGTGGGTGTTTGGGCCCATTCGGGCTGCAGTAACGAAATATCTGGGAGGCTTATGAACAACGGAGACTGAGCTCTCACAGTTCTGGACGTCCAGGGTCAAGGTGTGGCAGATCATAGATGGCACCTTCTCGCTGTGTCCTCGCACAGTGCAAGGGGCGAGGGAGGTCTCTGGGGCCTCCTTCAGAGAGGCACTAACCCCATGCGTGAGGGCTCCGACCTCCTGACCTCGTCACCTCCTAATGTCATCACTTTGTGGGGTGAGGATTTCAACATAGGGATTTAGAGGGGACCGCAGCAGTGGGCAACCCCTAGACTAAGGCGGCCTCCTTCTGACAGCCAGGTGCACAACCCCACAACCGAAAGGAAATGAATTCTGCCAACACCCGGAGGGCACCTGGAAGCTGATCCTTCCCCAGCTGGGCCTCCGGATGAGAACACGGCTCGGCTGCTACCTGGTGAGACCCTGGACAGAGGACCCAGTTAGTGAGATGATAAATGTGTGTTGCTAGAAGCCATGGAGTTTGGGGTAGTTTTTTTTTTTTTGAGACAGAGTCTCACTCTATTGCCCAGGCTGGAGTGCAGTGGCATCATCACTGCTCACTGCAGCCTCTAACTCCTGGGCTCAAGCGATCCTCCTGCCTCAGACTCCTGAATAGCAGGAACTACAGGCACCAGCACTCCCAGCTAATTTTTTTATTTTTAGTAGAGATGGGGTCTCATTCTTGCTCAGGCTGGTCTCTAACTCCTGACCTCAAGTGATCCTCCCGCCTCAGCCTCCCAGAGTGCTAGGATTACAGGAGTGAGACACTGCGCCCACCCAGCCTCTCTCTTTAAAATACTTAAAAATGTCTCTTTCCCCAGGGTGCTCAGAATATCCAAGAAATGTCAGGAAAACAGGAAAGAAAACAAAACCAGCGGTGATTCTATCACCCCCATGGAATCCCTGTGGACACCTGTGCCTTTGTTTCTGTGTGCCTGTGTGTGTTGTGTTAAACAGTTTTATCGAGATACAAATTGAGACACCCATTCATCCATTTAAAGTGCACAATTCAGCGGTGTTCGGTCTATTACCATGTTGATTTTTTTTAAAGTTTTCGTCAAATATATATAAAGTAAAATTTATTATCTGAGCCACTTTTAAGTGCACAGCTCAGGGGCGTTAAGCATATGCACATGGTTGTGCAACAGTCACCACCCTCTGTCTCCAGAACTTTCTCGTCTTCCCAAACTGAAGCTCTGTCCCCATGAAACACTCACTCCCCACCCCCTCCCCAGCCCCTGGCGACCACGAATCCACATCCCGTCTCTGTGGATCTGCCTGTTCTGGACATTTCATATCAATGGAGTCAACACTGCGTGTCCCTCTGTGTCTGGTGTCTCTCACTGAGCACAATGTCCTCAAGGTCCCTCCACGCTGTGGCCTGTGTCAGAGCCTCGTCCCTCTCCATGGCCGAGTGATGTTCCACGCGTGTTTATCTATCCGTCCACCGCTGTGCACTGTGCACGCTTCTCTTCGTTTTGTGGACTCTGCCTCCTCCACTCACCCCCCACCAAGCTCCCAGCCGCTGTGACTCTGCCCCAGGAAAGGTGGTCCTGGTGGGCTCCACAGGGCCTTGTCCACATAGGCAGGTGGCCAGTGTAGCCTGAGGGGCCACTGGGTGCTCTGTGGCCAGTCAGGAGTTCCAGTCCAGCCCCACCTCCGACCAGCCCTGCATCTTTCTGCTGCTCTGCCTCAGTTTCCCCATCTACAAAACATGGACCATGAAGCTGCTCCCCAGGGCTCCCAGGAGAACTAAACTCGGCAGAGCAGCCGGGCCTGGCCTGTAGTCTCTGAGTGGTGGAGTGGGGGCAGCTCAGGACGGGGAGGCAGACGGTGGTGGGGCCTGCAGGCTGCGTGGGGGCCAGGCCGGGGGTTGCCCAGTCACAGTCGGACGGGAGCTGCCTGATGGCGTCGCTGGAGCTTTTTCTCATCCCTCCTGGCAGGTGCTGCAGCACAAGGACCTAATCCCTGCGGCACGCGGCCACGCGGCTGGCAGCTGGAGCCTGCGCACTGGCGACACCTGAGCCTGGCCGAGGGCTCCGCTGCACCTGCCGCCGGAACAGCCAACACGTGTGTGTCCCAGGGGACTGGGCTGGGGCGGGCTCTGGGGCCACACGCCAGCCGTCTGGCCTAAGGCAACAGAGCTCTGCTCTCCCTGTCGGGAAAACTGGGAGGGGGACAGGGCGTGGGGACCCGTGCTCCGTGTGTGGAGGACGTAAAAGGATCTGCACGAGGCACCGCTGGCGTGTGGGAACCACTCAGCAATTGGCTGCGTTTTGAATCTTCCCTGACTTTGTCGTCATTGTTACATCAAGTGTGCGGGGCCAGGACCAGGGAGAGGTGGTGAGACACTCGCCTTGGGAGCAAAATTATTCAAAAAAAATTTTTTTTTGAGACAGCATCTTGCTCTGTGACCCAGGCTGGAGTGCCATGGCATCATCATAGCTCACTGCAGCCTCCAACTGTTGGGCTCAAGCGATCCTCCTGTCTCAGCCTCCCAAGTAGCTGGGACTATAGGTGCCACCACTATGCCCGGCTAATTTTTCTATTTTTTGTAGAGATGAGGTGTCGCCGTTGCCCAGCCTGGTCTCGAACTCCTGAGCTTAAATGATCTTCCTGCTTTGGCCTCCCAGAGTGCCAGCAGTTGGAGGCTGCAGTGAGCTGTGATGACACCACTGCACTCCAGCCTGGGTGACAGAATGAGACCCTGTCTCAAAAAGAAAAAAATCCCACAAGACACAGGGGCCATTAAAGGAATCCCCCCACCTCCTGCAGAAGGAGTGTAGGGGGAGGGAGAGCTGGACCCTGAAATGTCCCCAGAAGTCACAATCCTGTCAGAGATGCAGCTGGGCTGGGGTGTGGGGAGGGAGTCCCCAGTGCACACAGGTTAGGATTTGGGGGTGTTACAGGTTAAACTTCGTCCCTCCAAAAAGGTATGTTGAGTCCTAACACCCCTCCCCGCCATGCAGCAGGCGCGGTCACCAGAGTCCTGGTTGCAGACGCAGTTTAGAGAGTCCCAGAGGTGAACAGATGACACTCTGCAGGAAGAAGCCCCCGCACCCCGAAACCAGCCCGGAGGGGAGCGCAGCCTCCCATAGGGTCCCGAGACAATGGCACAGAAGCCCATTCCCGACTAAAAGATGCTTCCCGTGTTCCCTCTCTCCTTCCCACACCGATCGTGGGATGTGTGGAAATGAAACAACACGCCCTCAGACACCCGGTGGGTCCGGGGAGAAGTCAGGAGGGAAAGTGGGAAACGCTCTGAGACGCACGAGGACCGAAACGCAGCCTTGCCAGACCCCCGCGTCCAGCGGGGAGTCGGCGCCTTACACACCAGCGTCAGGGAAGGAGGAGGATTGAGCCACAACCTAACGTGACACCATGAGGAACCAGAGAGGAAGCGCGAAAGAAACCCGCAGGCAGCAGGAGGAAGGAAATTATAAAGATGGGGAGAGATAAACAAATAGAAACTAGAGAAACAGTAGAATCGGCGAAACCAAAAGTTGGTTCTTTGAAATGGTCCCTGAAATTGACGGACCTCTAGCTCCACTGACCAAAGAAAAAGGCGGGGGGATTGGGTCAGAAATAAAAGTGGGGGACGTTACTCCACGCCCACGACCTTACAAAAATCAGAAGGGTTAGGAGAGAATATTGCGCTACGTGGACAACTGTGCGCCGCTGGAGGAGACAATCCGCGAGAAATGTACAAATTCCTAGAAATACACAAATGACCGGAACAGCCAAGGTTTCGGATTCGACTCCACATTTCTCACATGCCAGGGGTTGTGCTGGGCGTTTTTTACATTTTGAGATCTGTAGCCTCATTTAATCTTTGCAACATTCCTGCAGAGTGAGGAATGTTATCTCCAGCGCAGACAGATGACGGGGACCCACCCAAATGCGGGGGGGCCGGGAGAGGTGGGCCGGGGATTTGAACTCAGGGTTCCTGGCTCTGAGCCCAGAGCTCTCCGTGGGATGACTCTGACTCCCGATGTGTCAGGGGCCCATAAAATACTGTGACTTGTTTGTTCCTTTTGCTAAAAAACAAGAGATTCCAAGCTCTTGAAGTAAGATAAAACGCTACATACCTTTTATAGTTTTCCCAGGAAGCACGGCTGTACGCCCTGGTTAAAAAAGGAGAGAGAAAGACAAAAGCCTGGTTAAATATTTTTCACTTACAAGGAGCTCGGAGAGCTATCTCTGGCATTTCTAACGATGTTGCTGTCCCCAAAAATGTGGCACGGGAATTTGAAACGGCCGTGTCCTCTGCAGAAAAGCCCCTGCCCTGGGGACAGGACAGGCCTTATTCTTTTACAACTGATGCGTTCAGAAAAAGACAACTGTTGTTTCTTTTGCAGGGGAAAAAAAGGAAAAAAAAAGGTCAGGTCTTCTATAGAACTTGTATTATTCCATTTGGGAACACGGGAGCCCCAACGCATGGTCAAAAGCGCAGTATGTCAGACGCAGCGGCGCAAGAACAACAGAACATGCAGGAAAACGAGCCCAAACCTGGAATACTTGGGTGTTTTTCCATCTCTGGTTTCTGCTTTTATGTGAGCCACGTGCCGGGGCAAAGGGGAAGGTGGCAAAGTCGGGGGGCGACCGATTAACCTCGGACGGAGGAAGTGACAGGTACGGGGGGGCGGGACAGCCGCCCAGGGCCAGAGGTTGGCAGGAAAGGAGGGGAGGCCGCGTGATGGGACTCTGGGCGGGGGGGGGGGGGCTTGGCCACTTTGGAGTCGCCACTTTCCACAGAACGGGATCCTCTGCCCCAACAGGCCTCTGGATGGAGCTGGGGCCGTGTCTGTCTCTGATGTTTGCTGCACGGAGTGTGAGAGCCCCTCCCGGGGACAGCACCTGCTTTCCTCATTCCCACCAAGGCTTGGGGGGAGGGGCAAGCAGGGACCCTGCCCCCTCTGGCCACACTCTGTCTGCAAGGCCAGCACCAGCCTCCCCGTGTGTGGACAAAGAGACTCGAGGCGTCGAGCAGCCGGGACCTGCACCCAACTTGGCCCCGTGCCTTGTTCCCCGTCCCAGTGAGGCTGCTGCTGCTTCGCCACGGCCACGCTTTGTACAGCTCAGAGCCGGGGCACCCTCGGCTCTAGGGGAGGCCCTGTTTTGCCCAGCGGGGCTCACTCTGCAGTGGGCTTGCCCCGGAGGTCAACAGAGGCCCCTGCCCTGGGCCTAACCCAGGCCCGGCTTCCTGAGCAGCTCTGGGCCCGGCCTGGCTCACGTGGCCGGGCTATTTCCCTCTGGCCCTAAAGGTCCCCTGTGGTCTCCCAGAGCCAGCCCAGCCCCTCTTCCTTCACAAACATTTGCTGTTTCCACAAACCAATGGGTTTTTTTCCACCTACACAAAGGGTAGCCGCAGGGCTACGGGGCCTGGGCTGAAGCTGAGGGCCTTGAGCGAGTCCCGCTCAGCAGCCCTGGGCGTCGTGGCCGCAGCAGAGGCCAAAGGATGCCTGAGGTCCGGCAGGAAGACGGCTTCCTGCAGCCCAGCTGGGCAGGCTGAGCTCCGGCTCCCTGGGCACTGGGGACACTGGCCCCAGGTCGTTCTCTGGGTGGGGCCGTCCTGGGCACTGCAGATGCTGAGCCGAGTCCCTGTCCCCGCCCACCCCATGCCAGGAGCTCCCCTGCCACCCAGTCCTGACAACCACCTATCTGTCCTGACATTGCTCAGTGTCCCCTGGGGGGCCCAGATCACCCCATGAGAACCCCTCACCTAGCGACCTAGGGATGGCCAGGGGCCGCCCACCCTCCCACCTAAACACACACACACACACACACACACACACACACACACGCGCGCGCGCGCGCGAGTGAGAACCTGCACCCCATCTTGCAGAGAAAGCAGGGCCTTGACCATGAAAGCACAGGAACCAGGGGGCTCTGGGACTCCCCTCCCCGTCCAGGGATGACTCAGTCGCCCTGCCCGGCCAAGTTGGCAAACAGGGTCCTAACGCCTTCCCAGGACTCTGTAGAGAATGAAGGGAAATTAGATTTCTGACCACCACAAATACGAAGTGAAAGTGTCGTCCTAGTGCTAGCCCAGTGGGACCTCATCCCCGCCCTGCGCCCCACCGAGGCTCCCACATCCACAAAATCAGAGAATGAGCGAGTATGAGGCAGCCCACAGCCAGCCCCAGGCTCTGACTCTGTCCTGGGCCACTGGGCCCATTACGGCTCCTGCTTCTGGCAGGGTGACTGTCTTTTTCTTTTTTTTCAGAGACAGAGTCTTGCTCTGTCACCCAGGCTGTAATGCAGTGGCATCATCATAGCTCACTGCAGCCTCCAACTCCTGGGATCCAGTGATCCTCCTGCCTTAGCCTCCTGAGTTGCTGGGACTACAGGTGCCACCATATCTGGCTAATTTTTAAAATTTTTAGTAGAGTTGGGGTCTCTCTGTGTTGCCCAGGCTGGGCTCAATCAATCCTCCCGCCTTGGCCCCACACATTGCTGGGATTATAGGTGTGAGCCACCGTGCCCTGCCGGACTGGGCCCATTCCTGACTTGGGTTTACTTCTGGGTGGCTAGAAATGTCACTTCTCAGCACCAGTGCATTATTGCCAAGACTGTTGCTGTCGGTAGAGGCCTTCTCAAGCGCTAGGCACCGTGCTTGTCTCGGCTCACTCATCCTGACAACAACCTGAGAGATGCTGCAGGGTCCCCGTTTACAGACGGAGACATCGAGACTCTGAGAGTGAGTCAGCAGCTCGTCCAAAGACGCACTTCCCGCGAAGGCAGCAGAACCAGAGCTCTCGCTCGTGCACACCCCAAATCTACTCACTGCACCTACGGCCAGAAGGACTGACTTCTCAACACCTCCGAGCAGGTGCAAGCTGGTTGGCTTCTAGAACCTTCTAGGAGGTTCTTCCTTCTGCCTTACCTATACATCTCACACTGCAGCCCAAATCTCTATGCCTTTTTTCTGCCTTTGGGAGCAAAAGCGCAGATAGTAATGATGATAATGAAAATCATCATAATAATGACAGCAACACCAGAATAGTGACACATTTGGGAGGAGGCCCTGGGGAGCCTTTGGGGGATGCTGGAAATGTCCTGATGCAGGTGATGGTGACACAGGTGTGTACACGGTTAAAATGCATGGGGCTCCAGGTGCGGTGGTTCATGCCTGCAATCCCAGCACTTTGGGAGGCTGAGGCAGGAGGATCCCTCGAGCCCAGGAGTTGGAGGCTGCAGTGAGCTGTGATTGTGCCACTGCACTCCAGCCTGGGCGACAGAGTGAAACCCTGTCTCTAAAAAACTTAATCCAGCCCCAGTGTCACCAGTGTTGAGAGGAGAGACCCTGGTTAGGTCGGGTCACAGTTGGTGCCAGGGGCAGCCCGTGCTTCCCCGCCCAGGAGAGACCAGGTCCCTGTCCCTCCATATCTGTTCCCTGGTCCTTTCTCCCTCCACGTCTGAACTCTCAGCTATAAAATGCGGCCAAGGGCCTCTCCTAGAAGTACTTCAAAATAGATCACCTACTCATTGTTTTTTTCACTCTTAGAAATGCGAAAGTTGCCGAGAAGCCGGAAGCCTGGCCCTGATTTTACCAGCTCTTCTGGGAGACGGGCGGGTAATCCCCTTCCTCAGCCCCTTCTCTGAGAATCCTCTCCAAGCTCCACTTCTCAGAATGAAACCGGCTCCCGGGCAAGCATTCACACCTCCGCCCACTTGGGGGTTTGCAATAAAAATCCATCCCATTCGGAGAGTTCACATGGGAGCTGGAACCCTGTGTCACCACAAACCCTCTGAGAGCTGCCGGTTTCCCCACGGGGACACATACCTACAGTGACTCTTTTTCCTTTTTCTTTTAAATGACCAGCAAACACTATTTTTGTTCAGCTGAAAGCTACACTCACTTTCAATATCTACAACATGGTTCCCCCACACCGCACCCCCCCGCCGGCACTGTGAACATTTGGGGCTGGATTTTTCTCTGGGGTGAGGCCATCCTGGGCATTGCAGGGTGCTGAGCAGCATCCCTGGCCCCCAGCCCCTCCATGCCAGGAGCACCCCCAAGTCGTGACAACCACAAATGTCCCCTGGGAGATAGAACCCCGCCCCTTCGAGAACCACTGCTCCAAGATTATTGAGGTAATATCTTTGAAGCCCGTTTTAAGTACGAATTTTTTTTAGCATAACTGTTAACTGTCCAGTTATTTAAACATTCCTACCCACCCACCCTTCCTTGGTCCAGGAAGGATTTGAAACGATTATGCACTGCAAACAACACAGTGACATTGCCAAAACCAGGCACGGGAGAAACCGCAGAGGTGGTATTTGGGGGTGGGCTGGGGTGGGGGAAAGGGTAGGAAAAAGTAAAAGCAGAGTTAGCAAAAAACGAGGAGGAGGATGTTTACATGGAAGGGCTGTTTCGTGTTCATTTCAAGTGTGGGTAGTTTTCAATTCAACAAAGATAATGTTTATGGATTGCAGTGAGTTGAATAATGTCCTGAAAAAATTCACGCCTCCCGGGAAGCTCAGCATGTGACCTGTGGGGACTAGGTCTTTGTGGCTGGAAGATAAGGCTCTGAGATGAAAATCACCCTGGATTTAGGTTCCATCCAGGAGACGGTGATCAAGTTGGTCTGGGGTGTGGCCGGGGCATGGGACAGTTGAGATTGCAGGTAACTGGTAGCCGGCAGCCTGGGGTGCAGCCCTGGCTACCCCAGAAACTTAATGTGCCCAGTGCTCCCCAAGGGGGCGGGTGGAGTAATGTGTTCAGATGTTTAATGATAGTAGGAAACAGGAATAAAAAAAAATAAACGATCAAATTCTGCACTTAGGAGCTTTCTGTGCAGCGTGAGTGGGGGAAGGGAGGAGTTCTTAAGATGCACAAATAGCCGATTGTTCCACTGTATATAATAAGCGGTAAATAATGAACACACCTTTTCTGTAAAAGGCCAGAAATAAAGACGCTGAGGGCCCAAAGGTCTCTGTTAATACTATTCATCTCTGCCTGCATAGGGAAAAAACAGCCAGGGATGATATGTAAATGAGTGGGTGGGGCCATGTGCCAATAAAACTTTATTTGCAAAAACAGGCAGAGGGCCAGATATGACCCACTGGCTGTGGTCTGCAGAACTTTGAGCTGGAGGGATGAACGGCCTCTGGAGTGAAG